GGCATCTCCCCGACATGGACAAGGGCGGGGATCTTCCAGTCTCGAAGAAGAGCAACTGACTTGGACTACTCCCTCTTAGCCGAGTTTACTACTCGACTAAGGGAGTGGGGGACTCGTGATGGAGTAATAGGACTAGGCCCAGAGCCTAATCGGTCCAAGCCCCGAACTTGGACCCGTGGATCCAAGTCCACAACCTGGAGCCTATCTACCAGTCCAGCGGGGAGCCTGTCAGTCCGCCCGACCTTCCAGCTGGGAAAAGTAACGGTCAAGCAATTAATGCGTTGTTTAATTATGTATTTAATTTCGTATTAATGTTGTAATTAATTAATTATTATTATCGATAGCGGTTACGATTTGTATACGCCTATAAAAGGCGGCTTGTAATTCAGATTAGGGGAGGAACTTCTAGAAGTCATTTCTGGCAACTCAATCTCCTAGCACTTTCCTTATTCGTATTACCTTTTATTTTCCTGCTTGAGTGTTCTTACGTAGCTTTCCTAAAAGCCTACGAGCGTCCTATTTTGGACCAACAATATGCAATAAAAATAGAATGTAATAAAAAATAAAAAACATAAAAAGTAATTAATAATTATTATATATGATGACATGGCAGGATTATGTTTTTTAGGATCATCGAGTTCACTTCGTTGTTTGGTAAGCTGATCAATGCATTGACCCCATAATCTTATTTTGAGCCAGTTCGCCCTGCATGGTAACAAAAGTTAGTACATACATTTAAATAACATTTAATATAACAAAATTGATGTATTTTAAACAATCAAACACATATTGTTGCATTCAGGTTCAGTTTGAAGTTGCATTCAGGTTACTTGAATTTTGTAGGAGAAAAATCTATATAATTCGTAAGTAGATATAAAACATACCATTGGTCTTCTATTTCAATAGCTGAACATCCATTAGGATCATCGTTAACAACCATGCCAACCACATCTGCAAGAACAATATTTAGTGGCATTATTTGATTATGGAGATATAGTATCGATATAATATTTAGAAATAATGTTTTGTCATACCAGTCAAAAGATATTTACTCCCGAGACGGTTCTTTAAAATGTTGAAAGATACGAAGTCAAATTTATAATTTGGCACTTCAATTGCTTCTCCTTTGACTTCTTTGATGAGAGTGTTATGAAAGAATTGTATCATGATTTTTCTATCTGCTACAACACGATACTCTTCTTTATTTGGAACCACTGAGAAATTTTTTATGATGTGTATCATTCCTTCCTTTATTTTGGGACGTAATGTATGAACATATCCACTTTTTATATATGCACGAACATAATCACCCTGCTATCATGAAAAATATCATTAGATTTTTGTGTAAAATAAATGCATTAAAAATTCAAAATTAAAAAAAGTATACCTCTTCATCGATCAGAACCATGTCTAGACAAATTAAGCTTCCTTGCCTTTTGTGATTGATGACATCACAGAGGCGTGTAACACGAACTTTGATTGTCCAGTCAGACTTGGATGTATCAAGCTGACGTATTAGAGAATAACTTCTGCATTTTATGAAATATTAATCAATCAGGTATAATGCATAATAATATCATGTATCATAAGCATGTGAATGGTAAAGTATCATCTGTACGTAGTATTGAATAATATACCATTAAAAATGTTGTAGAAACTTACTGTGATGACATTCTTGATATAAGAACACTAAGCAATAGAATTCTTCAAACTCAGGAGAAAGCCAATAGTGAAAATACACTTTTGTTTACATTCTCTTTGTATATTTATAATAGCCTACATATACACTATAGGTAGTTTTTATGTTTCTAATTCTAAATTTAGAAACATAAAATATACTAAAAGTTTATAGAATATAGAAACGTAATACTAAAAAATCAATATATACAAAAAGTTTACTATAATAAAATCAGATTTTATGTAAATACTCCGTAAGAGTTACCAAATTAGAATATAGAAACGTAATACTAAAAAATCAATATATACAAAAAGTTTACTAAAAATTTACTATAATAAAATCAGATTTTATGTAAATACTCCGTAAGAGTTACCAAATTAGAATATAGAAACGTAATACTAAAAAATCAATATATACAAAAAGTTTACTAAAAGTTTACTAAATCAGATTTATAAGTGCCGAATAAAATCAGATTTTATGTAAATAAGAGTTACCAAATTAGATGGTATACAAAACGTAATAGTGTAAAGAAAATAAAAGATATAGAAAGTAATTAAATAATAATTATATATGATGACATGGCATGATTACGTGGCGCGCCGTATGCTCTTAAAAAGTTCCTCTTTTATATATATATATTGATTTTAAAAAAATTACTTTGAAGCTTAATTTTTTTTATTATGGAGTATATTTTTATGTTAACTTATACTCCCTCCATCCCTTTATATTGTCTCATTTTACCTTTTCGGGAAGTCCCACTAAAATTGTCTCATACCATATTCGGTAAAGTTTGCGTGACTCAAAATCATTCTTATTTTATTATTACTTTATCAATTAATATCAACTACACAAAGTCATTTTTGTTAATAATCGTGTCACCCTCTTCCGTCTCAATATAAAAGGGACGGAGGTAGTATATGATTTTTTCTCATAATAGCTCCTTTTAATAGCTATAACAGCATTCAAAATTTACATCATAATGACTATGAAACTTGCAGAAAAATTACTCCAAATTAATCATGTTTTGATAAAAGAATTCATTGAGACCTTAAATACTCAAACACTAACTAACTCTATAGTATATAACAAATCTCCATTTAATACTTTCAGTGCCTCTTTTTATCAATTAAACTTCATGCATACCTAGCTTTCTTGGTAACCGGTGAGTAAAATATTTGAATATGTTAAAACAAAAGTTGGACTATTTTACTAAGTAGATATAGTTCATCCGAAGCTGTTCAATTCAGTTTAGAATCAAAACTTATAAATTGAAATGAGGGTTAAACTAAATTAGTTCAATCCAGAATCAAAAGTTAAATTGAAATAGTTAAATTTAATTAAACAGTAAGCTACAGATGAAATCTAATGTATAAAAATGGGCATTGAACAATTTTTTGTTTAGATAAAGATGGTTGAAAAGACGAAGTTCATTTGGGTGCAACAAGAAAATTTGGCTCTTTTAATTGGATAATATAGACTAAGAACATGTTTAGATAATTAGTTAATAAATAAGATATACTCAAATTCAGGGGCGGAGCTAGGGGAGGGCCAACCTCTCCCTTGGCCCGCCCAAATTTAAAAAATGACTTAATTTTTAAGGTAAAAAATCCCGTGTCATTTATTTTTTTCTAATTTGTTTTTGTACTGGCCTAGTCCGGCCCAATGCTCTGGCTCCGCCGCCCCCTCTACTCATATCAATCAATGTTATAATCGACTAAATAAATGACTTTCTGTTAGTTCTAATATATATATCAGTGCACGCACACACGCGCGCACACACATATATAGTAAAACTAAAATAAAAATCGTTTTATCCCGTGCATGGCACGAGTAAAGATACTAGGGGTATTTTTGCACCTTTTTTAAATTCAGATATATATTTATACCTCCACATATATACTTCAGACCTAAATTTTCACATTTCCCCTATTTTCAAATATCACATACAATACAACACAACAACGACATATATCCCACCAAAAGGAAAAGAAAGAAAATAAAGATAAAAATATAAGCTATTATAAAAAAGCTATTCCCTCCGTCCCGGTGGACTTTGCCAAGTGTAAAGTATGTGAGAAATATCACATAAACTTTCGCAAATTATTTTGAATTGCCACATTTTCCCTTATATATTAAAAATAAAATGTATAATTACTTGCCTTTTGTCATTAGGTGTGGCATTATTGTATCTTCATCTCAAGTCGTCACCTAACTTTCATATTGGACATCATGAAATTCGGTAGAAGAGTTTGTAGTTATAGCACCAATTCAATCAAATTCTCATTCTCAAAGACAATCAAGAGGTTTTGATCGACTAATATTTGTATATTCATATGGACAAAGTATATAAATAAATATTTGTAATATTAAGATGAGACACTAACATGAATCGATACATGATATTGGTGTAAACTAAGACCAATATCTTAGTCCCAAAAGATATTGGGGTCGGCTAGCATGAATCGATACATGATATCACCACCAAAAGGAAAAGAAAGAAAATAAAGATAAAAATATAAGCTATTATAAAAAAGCTATTCCCAAAAAGTGTATATTTAACTCTTTTTATATTATCTTTTTTGTAATAGCTTATCTTTTTATCTTTATTGTCTAGGACTAAGAAATTTAAGACCACAGAAAAGTGTAAGAATATTCTCATGCAATCATTATTCGGCATTTTCTTAAACCTTTAAGACCCTAAGAAACTTAAGTCCATAGAAAATGTAAAACATTTCTTCCACTTAATATATTTGACAATAATGCATGTTTATATAAAAAATAGTTTATATTGATAAATTTGTTAGTGTTAGTAATGGAAGTGTTAATAAGTGTTGATGCTAACACTTGTTTGGGAGAAAAATCAGAGGTGTTAAGAAGTGTTAGTAATGGTTAGGAAGTGTTAATAATAACCTTCCCAACACCTCAATTGTCCATTTTTTTAACACCCCGATTTGGAGTGTTTTGAGGTGTTGGACAATTATTACCCTTCTCATTTACCCGAAAAACATAAAATGCTTCGACATTTCACTTCGAATGTCTTTCCCACGGGTCTGATGGTTTGTTTTTCATCTCTTCTCTTTACTCGTTTCTTTTGCCTCAAAATAAAATTATTAACACTTCCATTATTAACACTTCATTCATTTGACTCTCCCAAACAAGGTAAAATTATGTCTAACACTTACACTTACCTTCCCTTCCGAGCCCTTATTAACACTTACTAACACTTCCATTACTAACACTTCCAAACACTGCATCCAAACAGGCCCTAGTTCTACAACAATACTCCATCGGTTCTTTTTTATTAGTCTTCTTACCCGTGTGACTTTAGTGATGATAGCCCTCTCAACTCTGAAATCTCAAGAACACGGATACGGATAAATTTAGTTTTGAAGAAAAGGTAAAAATCCCCACCCATCTTCACGTATCGGCCTAGCTAAGATTCTTCTCACTCCCGTTGCAGACTTGCAGCTCCCAGAACACTCCAGAATACATTTAGCGTAGCATTCGGGTAAATGCCAAAACTTCTGCGGAATCTCCATACTTTTCTGTGTTGAAACGACTCAGGCAAGCTGCCATGTTTTGCTCTTCAGCTGGCTCGGCAAACTCATGGAAATCATCAGCCACCTTCATTGAACGCCGACAGAATATTCACCTCCGGTGCTCATTCATACTAAATTTATCACTTCACAATCGGCATCGAGATCTCATTTTCCCTCCGACCATCCTAAAAAGATCTTCGCCTTATTGCTTCCCACGCGCATTCCTCGGCAAACCGGATTCTAATTCGAAGACTTCTACACAGTTCAGTACTGGAGAAGGAACGGAAGACGACTTTGTGACAAGGGTTTTGAAGGAAAACCCCTGCCAAGTAGAACCCAAATACAAACTAGGGGATAAGGTACTTACTCAGAAGGAAAAAGAGGCGTTGCAGAATACAGGTCTTGATAATGGGGCCTTTGAGATTCTAAAGAGGTTGAATTTGAAGGGATTTTCAGGGGAGAGGCACAAAGAAGGTCATCCAGGGAATCCTGAGGAGGTGTATTTGAAGGACATTTTGAGGGGATATAAAGGGAAGTTGTACGTTCCAGACCAGATTTTCCGGTCTAACTTATCAGAAGTTGAGGAATTTGAGAAGAATGTGGAGGAGTTACCAAGAATGGAGTTCAAGGATTTTCAGAAGTACTCAAAAACTGATAAGGTTAAGCTGCTAACATTCAAGGAGGATGATGGTGTGAATTTTGGAGTTGGGTTTAGGGACTTCATAGTGGAGTTGAAGGAAATTCCTGGGGATAAGAGCTTGCAGAGAACTAAGTGGTTAGCAACAAAACAAATAGAAATTCTATTTTATACTGATATATCTCTATTTTTGCTTGTTGCAATAGACTGTAATATACTAGACACTTTTTTGTTCAAACTTATTTCCTTTAGGTCACTAAGGTTGGATTCGAATTTGGCAAGAACCCTTCTGGAAGAGTATGATGGGCCACGTTATGAAGTTGAAAAGCAAATGATGGTACATGACCTCTGATATAATCTATCAAACATTAATGCTCTTAGTTTGTAGCTATTCGTTTGAAAGATTTAGTTTTAGTCTTCAATTACTTGGTACAATTTTTGGAGTCTCATTAAGAAAATATTAATTTGCAAAATAAACCAATGACAAGTACAAAACACGTATTGTTGTGCCTGTATACTAGAATGGCATATTGAAACATTAAATAAATGTTCTAGTTTTATCTTTGCCCACTGTCAGATTGAAAACATTAGGCAACATCCGCAATGAACTAGTTTTTATATTTACCCCACTGGCATGATTTCATGATTATAATTCGTTTGATATTGTAATACTTAAGTAGTTTTACTGTCAGTTTTCTTGTAAGGATGTTTTTACTTGGACTGGAATTTTCTGGTTTGATCTGAACTTTTCTGGTCTGATCTGGTAAATGTGTGGTCTCTGTGTATTTTATAATTGTCCAAGTTGCTCTGGTCTGGGACTGAAAACTGTACAAGTAAAAACATCCTTAGTCATGTTCTATGTATATTTAGCTATGTCAGTATGTTGCGGTCAATGGTTGTGCAACCAGTTTTTCCAAGAAGCAATAGCTAGCATGACTTGGTGATGACTGATGAATGCTTATCTTCTTCTTGGGTGTTCCATCACTTACTTTGAAGTCTAATGTGCAGTCATGTGTTGGGAAATTACCAGAGCATCCGCTTCCAGTGGCATCTAAAATATCAACTAGACTGATGTTAGAACTTGGAACCCTAGCAGCGGTGATGACATCAGCTGCATTGATTGCTGGTGGCTTCCTTGCTTCGGCAGCATTTGCAGTGACAAGCCTTGCGTTTGTGGTGGCTGTTTATGTTGTCTGGCCTGTTGCCAAACCATTTGTCAAGCTGTTATCGGGCATTGCTTTTGATGTCGCAGAGAGAGTGTATGATAAAGTCTATGACGCTTTCGCTGTTGGAGTTTTTGCCAAGTTGCATCAGATATACACGTTTGGTGGTATCTCTTCCAGCATTGAATTGCTGAAGCCAATCCTGTTTGTGTTTTTCACTATGGTTCTTCTTGTCCGTTTCACTCTTTCAAGACGACCTAAGAACTTCAGAAAATGGGTGAGCAATAAAACCATTTTTTTTAATGATGTTCTAGTATGGTAATGCGATACTCGTTGACGCTTGATTATTTTATGGTTCATCAGTATATTTTACGTTTCAGAGCCATATCGGGCTTACATATTTGACTGAAATGGATTTCACCAAATGCTTTCCCTTTAGAATATTCAAAAAGTTCAGGCAAATAACCATTACCAAACAGATAATCAACATTTCATTAGTTTAGATTTTCTAATTTTCTTTAAAAAAAAGGTTAGCATTAGACCTGGATTTTCTTATGCTGTTCTGGTTTTGCAATACTATTGACTCGTTACTTCTTGATACCTTTTATGCTTCATGCAGGACATTTGGCAAGGCATTGAATTTTCTCAGTCTAAGCCACAAGCTCGTGTGGATGTGAGTGTAATTTTGTATTTCCCCAATCCCCACAGCTTTCAACCCACTCTTAAGTGTTTTCTTGTTCATTACATAAAATAGGGTAGCTGGTCATTTGCGTTTTGTTTCTAAATAAATAGTGATCATATAGGGTTCGACTGGGGTCACATTTAATGATGTAGCTGGTATTGAGCAGGCTGTGGAAGAACTTCAGGAGGTAGTTGTTGTTTTTAACCTCTGTTTCTTTTCATATTTCTTTAATTCTCCCCTACAACTTAATATAGCTCATGAAAATTATAACCAATAGCTGTTTTGATTGTTGTATCCTGTTATTACAGAGAAGTCAAATTTAAAAGCTACTGAAGACCATTAGAATTTAGAAGTCGTACAATTGTGTATAACTTCAACTATTCTTGTCAGTCTCTAGAAAAATTTATGACCTAGATATAAATACAACTCTTTAAATACCAGGGTTCATGTGATTAAGTATATGTTTGGTAGCCTTATCAGGCCTATTCTGCTTATCAACATATTAAGTAGTTTTGACTTGCTTATTTGGCTCAAATTCTTTTCCTTGCTTGATTACCAAACACTTTCCCTTTTAGAAATTCAGAAGATTCAGCCATTTCAGCGAAATAACCCTTACCAAATCACCAAATGGGACCACAATCAATATTTAATTAGTTTATAATTCATAGTATCCATTTGTATCGTTGACATTATATATTCAATTGATATGTTGTTCTTTGTTGCCAGTTCTCGATCTCTAATTTATCTCCATGATTTAAGGCTTCTTAATGTTAACTGAGATCTTGGATGATTTCAATCTGTTTGTTAGTTGGTAACCTACTTGAAGAATCCTGATCTATTTGATAAAATGGGGATAAAACCACCACATGGAGTTCTTCTGGAGGGCCCTCCAGGATGTGGTAAGGTTAGTTTCATCCCTACACCTAAAGGCGCTGATTAAATAATAAATACTCATAGCCGTTATATTAATTAATAGTTAATAATAAAGCACTATGCACATGTTTTATTCAGACCCTAGTTGCCAAGGCCATAGCAGGTGAAGCCAGTGTTCCCTTTTTCCAAATGGCTGGATCTGAATTTGTTGAAGTATTAGTTGGTGTCGGTGCCGCTCGTATTAGGGATTTATTCAAGAGAGCCAAGGTATCATTTCATTTGGCCCCAGTAGGGTAAAGAGTAATTTTTATTTTTATTTTATGGCATGCTATTGAGACAACGCTAGCAAAATTTCTGGCATGTTTTTCATTTTAGTCTTGTTGGTGTCTTAACTCTTGAATCTGTATATGAAGAACTCATACTGTACCAGCATTGGAAGGGATGCTGAGATTTGCTATAGTTACCATCGTAGGGTAGTTAACAAGGCAACCATACATAAATGTGCAACCATACATGGCCAAACTAGTAATCTAGAATAGTAAGGGTGTCAGGTTCCCCAAGAACTGCTAATATGCAATATCACTATTATTTAGATAACCATTGATTGGAATTCAAAGAAATATACTCCCTCTGTTCTTAAGTAAACCTACAAATTGACCAGAAACGGTGGTTAGGAAAATAGAATCTATGTGGCTGAAATTAATTTAGAGGAGAAAGATAATATGAACCACATAATGCTTTGCCTATAACAAACTAGCGGAGAATTTTACTATTTTAGGACAGGCCATTAACGAAAGTGTGTGGTTTATTTAAGGACTGAGGGTAACTAAATAATTTGAACCACGGAAACGTAAAATCTTGAATGTAAAACAACAATTGGATTAGCTGAACTCCTATGATTACCCACTGTTTGGCTGCTTTTGATATTCTCTCTGCTGTTGAGTGGTCTTCGCCCTCGCTGCTGCTTTGCTCAAATAGTGGAGGCTGTGGAGCAAGAATAAAGACCAAATCAATTGAACGATAATAACTTAAAATCCTATTATTCGTCTCCTATTATTGTTAGTTAAAGTTTCCTATTGGTGTGTTATATTTTGATGTGTCACTTCAACCATGGCGTCCCAGCCATCCCTTGCTAAAATTATCAGGACATTCATGGCATTCTCTTTCATTTTCCTACCAAATTAAAAGCATTGAGTGTATGGTCATAAACTATGGATAATCTTGGGGAAGTTAAGTATAAAATTCAGACCAAAGTTTTAGGAGAAAGTGCAAAAACGGTGCCTCCTCATGGATCAGATGACATCCATTTATCTTTAAACCAGGACATTCTTGGGTTGGCCCTCTTATAAAGAGTGTATCTTTTGTGGAGAGTGTAGAATTTCCTTTTATGCCCATAAAAAGCTACTGACATGCCTTTTATGGTGGGAAAAGCAAGGGATATATTGTTATTTAACCAAACACTGTGAACCAAATAAAGAAAATGAACTTTCATAGGACATCCAAAATTTGGAAGAGTGAAACTTTTTAATTGACAGAGGGATTATTTAGTTGGGTATTTTGACAAAAAAGGAGAACTACAAATGATTTATTGTAAAAGAAGATGACAAGTGGAGAAAAAAGACCTTTAAAGGTAAGCTAAATTTTATACACCATGGCACCATGCATTCTGAAGTTTTATTGTTTTAGCCAACCCCATTGATTTGGGATTAAGGCTTGGTTGTTTGTGATGTATTCTGAGGATCAATATCTTGTCACAGGTGAATAAACCATCAGTCATTTTTGTTGATGAAATTGATGCTTTGGCTACAAGGTATGGATGTTTTTTGAAACTTAAATTTGAGCTAAATGTATTTCATTAATGTGGAATTTGTAGAAATTTATGTTTCTCTTTATTACAGACATCTGAATTTGTCACATGTTCGATAAAACCATATAGACTTTTCTAACATAACTTCAATTAATAGGCGCCAAGGGACATTTAATGAATCAACCGATGACATGTATAATGCAGCTACCCAAGAAAGGGAAACTACATTGAACCAGCTCTTGATTGAGCTAGATGGGTTTGACACAGGGAAAGGTGTTATATTTCTAGGGGCAACAAATCGAATGGATTTGTTAGATCCTGCACTTCTTCGGCCTGGTAGATTTGATCGCAAGGTAGGAATCTGCTTATAGGTTAAAATATGTGATTTTTCACATTTTATTTTATTCTTTTGGGGGGGGGGGGGTTCGGTTGAAAGAAAGAACAAAGAGAAATGGGAGAAACAGCCGAACCCCCCAATTCTTTTGTTATTCATTTTGTGGTTTAATTGGCTGAAATTGCCCTAAATAAGAGTAGAAACAATGTGAACTTCCAAAGCAGGAGTACTATGTTCCTGCCCTAATTAGTGTCATGTTTGTAATATACTGCCGCATTAATACTGCCATATTAATGCCTAGCAATGCCATAATATGACAGTACAATCTTAGGATGACAATAATTTACTCATATATAGGGAAAAAACATAGTACTCATATTTTGGAATTTCAAATTGTTTTTACTCCTATTTTGAAATTTTTTCCCTATAATTATTGGACACGTTTTGTATTGTACCATTGGTTGCATAATCATGTCTGCTCATAATTTGTATTTTTTATCGATAAGCATTTTATTGTCAAGACAAATGTCAGGAGGTACTGTACTTTTTGTATTGTACCTCTTTACAACAATAAAAACTGCCCACTGTATTAAAATATAATCTGTATTAACTATTACCTACATGCTCCTTAGAAATTATGATATATTAAAGTGTTAATGTGAGGTTTGAATAGATTGTAAGTATTCTGAAGGTGTCAGCTTTTTAATCTATCTTTTTATAGATAAGAATTCAACCTCCCAATGCAAAAGGCAGATTGGATATTCTGAAAGTTCATGCACGTCATGTAAAATTATCAGACACAGTTGATTTAGCTAGTTATGCCCAGAACTTACCAGGTTAGTTTACTGTCTTTGTCAACTACAGTTTCCTTGTTTTAATTGTCATGGAACTGCCTTATGATACACCTGGACGGTAAAAAGCACTTGGGCGAAAAAAGTAAAATATGCTTTGTACTCTAACTGGTTAATTATTTAAGCACTGACATGCTCCTATGGGAATTGTGCTCAAGGTATACCTTATAGCAGCAACAACCAAGGCTTATTCCCAAAAGAGTGGGGTTAAAGGTATACCTTGATGGGAAAAAAAAATTTATCAGCTTGCATATGTGGTGATTTATTGTGCAGTTGTATCTATCATCAGGCTGGAGTGGGGCAGAACTTGCACAACTCCTGCAGGAGGCAGCTCTTGTTGCAGTCAGGAAGGGTCATAACTCTATTTTAAGCTCGGATATGGATGATGCATGTGATAGATTGACGGTGGGACCCAGACGTACTGGGATCGACTTGGGACATCAAGGCCAGTGCCGCCGTGCTACTACTGAAGTGGGGACTGCTTTGACCTCTCACCTGCTAAGACATTATGAAAACGCAAAGGTTGAACGTTGTGACCGTATATCTATTAACCCTCGTGGCCAGGTTAGACTCCATGAACACCAACTTCACCTGGATCTTCTTTCATGTATTATTCGTTCTATTTATTTTTCCAACCATTTGATGGTCTTTTGTCATATATAACTAGCTTTACTGCTTTTATAGGCGGCATATCATGCAGCAGGTTAGTTTGTAATGCTGTTTTACATAATTATCTTGTAGACCCTTTCCCAAGTTGTCTTCCATCGACTTTATGAAGAGTTCTATGTGTTTGAGCGCCGGCCTCAACTATTGCACCGACTTCAGGTTTAAATCTTACCGTTTATGACCTTTTCCTTCGGTCCTATATATATGTGCTTGCGTGGAGGCACTTATAATCTCTCCCAAAGAATTTAGAAATGTAATACTCTCTCCGTCCCATTAGATTTCGCCAACTTTCCTTTTTTGTTTGTCCCAAAAACTTTGCCATGTTTCCTTTTAAGTAAATAATTTGTGGTTCTGTTTTTTTCTCTCTTTTCTGCACAACTCTCAACAAAAACATTACCCCAGTGCCAGAAAGGTTCCCACCTATGGTGGGGTAAGGGGGTCGGATGTACGCAGCCTTACCCTTGTACTAAAGCACAAAGACGGTTTCCGGATGACCCGTGATGAAAAACGTATAGTAAATTGCATGGACTGGCGGCTGAAGAAACGCCGTCAGTTTAGTGAGCCATTTTGCTTTATTCGATCATATTTCCAAGCCGAAAAATAGCGAGTCTTTGGCTCCATTGGAAATGATGGAGTTTTCTGCACAACTCTCAACCATACACTTTTTACTTTTCTTATTTCACACCAAACACAAACATGACCATGTCCAATGGTACGGAGGAAATACATTTTTTTTGTTCTAGCGAGGTACAAATGTATAAATCATTATTCATAGTTGTTTTTTTTAAATTTATTTGTTGGTTTACCTAGATATCATGTTTAACTTCTATGCAACTTTTTTTGGCAATGTATTTGGCAAATTATATGATAAATTAGCCTCGTCTGATCAAACTACACTTTTACTTTGGGACAAGAGATGTTTAAAATACGACTCCTATTTTGTCTTATACATGCCTGGCATTTTTATATAAGTACCAAAAAAGGGGGGATATTCACAAATAAAATACTGGTTAAAGACGCTGCCTAGCAAGCACGTAGTAGGCCCAGTTCCTAAAAAACGATTTTTACGTTTTTGCTTTGACTACTCATAGAATTACTGGGATGACTTTTATACGAACCATTGAATTTTTAAAGGTGTTGTTGGGAGGAAGAGCTGCTGAGGAGGTGATTTTTGGGCGGGATACTTCAAAAGCATCAGTGAGCTACCTTGCTGATGCAACATGGCTTGCCCGTAAAATTATAACAATGTATGTTCGGTTCTAGTGTTGCTCACTTCTTACTTAATGCCTTTTTAATCTTCCTGCCAGGTTCTCATGTCTTCTTTTCTTCACAGATGGAATTTAGAAAACCCAATGACTGTCCATGGCGAACCTCCACCATGGAGAAAGAGTGTCAAATTTGTGGGTCCGCGTCTTGATTTTGAAGGATCGTTATACGATGAAAATGGCCTGATCGAGCCTCCTCTCAATTTTGATATGGAGGATGATGTTTCAAAGAGGACTGAAGCACTGATGAGTGATTCGTATGGAAAGATTGTGACTTTGCTGAGGCAGCATCATGCTGCTTTACTTAAAACCATTAAGGTAGTAAGAACATTCATATTTTCTCCAACACCCCCCCCCCCCCCCCCGGTTAACCCATAAGAGTAGCAGTGTCCTTATGGCTTGCGAGCAATCAGATGATTGTGACATTGCATCCCAATGCCCCTAACACACTTTCACTCACGCGCCAAACACTAGCAAGTAGGCAGGTTCTATAGAAGAGAAAGAGAAGTAGATGAGAAGTAAAGTTCGGTTGAAGAGACACATATATTGCAAATAGTGAACAAATATTTGAACTAAAATAGGTTGGTAGATTATAAAGAAAAAAGAGCGTTTTTGTACTCAAAAGTAGTTCAAGAGTGGAAGTCATCATTATTCACACATTTGCTCCCATTCCCTTCGTATGTCTTCTCTACCAGTTTACCAAACCAATGAAATACCATGTTGAGGTCCATGTTATCCTGTCATTTCCTTGTTTTCTTTTCTTTCCCACTCCATTTTTTTGCTTCCAAACACACTGAGTGTTACAAAGCTCTAGATCTTTCATGCAGAAAAGACTGATATTGATAAACTTGCTCATTTGGCTTTATCCAGGTTCTTCTTAAGCAGAAGGAGATAAGTGGAGATGAAATAGACTTTATCCTCAGCAACTATCCGCCAGATACACCAGCAAGTCTGCTACTGGAAGAGAGAGATCCTGGAACTCTTCCCTTATCTCATCAAGAACAAGAGCATGCTAATGAGCTAGAGTACAGTCTTTTGACATCGTGAAGCATAATAGCATCTTGTCTCTGAACAAGACTGAACTAGAAAAATTAAACAAAAAAATCTGGAATTCAAACCCTGGGGAAGTTGACACTGCAAAGTGCTAGGCTGCTAGCAGGAGATGCTTCATAGCGGGGAATGCTTTTTTGATTTTTTGACGAGGTCTGCAGACAGATGAAGACACCAATTGCATCTATGCTTAGTATTTAGGCAGAGAGATAGAGAGTTCGGGGTGGGGGGGGGGGGGGGGGGTCTACATTTTTTGTTTGATGAGGAATCCAGGTTTTGTAAGATTATTACTACGGAGTAGGATTTATCTGATACTCCTCAAACATCCCCATTGCACATATGGGATAGAGTGCACACGACCCCGTTCCAAACTGAAAGTAGATTGGAACCATTCCGGGTTTTAACTGAAGACTGATCTGGAAAGCCGGTTACAAGATCAGCTCAAATTATTTAGTGATTTTTTGTCTGCTCCAATTCCCCTAAAATAGGCTGGGGTTGGCCGTTTTTATTTCTGTTTTTTTTTTAATTTGGCTTGATAATTTGGTAGGAATCAGTGATCTGAAATTCGTAAGGATTAAATATTTTCTTCTACAATTTCGAATTTATCGCTTAAATTGTTATACAAAAAGTACTCCATATCATAAAAGCACGCTTGCTTTAAAAACACAATCTATTTAATTGGACTCGTCCCAGGTGAGAGAGACATACATTTATTAGATCAGTTCATACCGGACTTGACTATACTGCAGTACTGCACTGCACTTGAAAATTTTGGTTCTATTTGAAAACATTCTCATTTCTCGATGACTCGATCCATCCTCTTGATAAGTTATACTACGTATTATTTGATTTTTGAAAACTAAATCAATAAAAGTGATAAATTGTGTAAAAATATAGACATTAAAATATGAAGTTGTTGAATTGTCAAAATAGATAACTTTATAACAATAGAAAAAGAAAATTAAACATCAATAAACAAAATTGAAATGTAACAAAAATGAAAGATGTAGAATATATAAATAATTACAAAAATTGCCAGATATTAAAGTTTTTTAATTATATTTTTTACTATTTTTATTCTATGTTCACTTTGACATTTTTAACTCCGTCATGAGATCATTTTTTGGTATCATGCATGTCCCAAACCATGATAAAGGAGGAGGGTGTTGTGGTAGGCGTGTGATGACCAACAATATCATTTAGTCACATCACATGACATGAATCAAAATATGAGCTACGGCTAGGTCGTCACCCGTAAGCGACACATCATCCCTCCGCCTGGGGGTGATGTCAAATCTGCAAGGGCGTGCTACACTTCATAGGTCATGATGTAGTGATAAGAATGCTAAGGCTGCTAGGTCATTGCACGGATGCGACACGCCACTCCAATGCCTGAGGAAGGTGTCAAATATGCAAGGACATGGTAGGAGTCGATGTGGTGTGAAGAAGAAAAGGCATGGTGCTAGATTGCGTTTTGAGACATGGAATGTTGGCTCTCTTACGGGATCATCTGAGATAGTTGAGGTTATGAAAAGGAGGAATGTCAGCATAATGTGCATGCAAGAAACTAAGTGGGTTGGATAAAAGGCACGTGAGATTAATCCTGGAGGTTTTAAGTTGTGGTATTCAGGTAAAGAAAGGAACAGAAATGGAGTAGGCATTATGGTGACACATGATTATGTTGAGAGTGTGGTGGAAGTCTTCAGGAAGAACGACTGCATCATGAGCATTAAGTTGATAATAGGAGATGAGATCGTGTACGTGGTAAGTGCCTATGCACCACAAGTGGGATTAGATGCATCTATGATCTATCATTGAACAATTTTGGGAGGATATTGACGAAGTGGTGCGATGGGTGCCAAGGGGGGAGAAGTTGGTCATAGGAGGCGACCTCAACAGGGATGTGGGCCCAAATCGTGATGGTTTTGAGAGTATCCATGGCGGACATGGTTTTGGCACTAAAAATGAAGCGGGTAAGAACATTCTGGATTTTGCCTCGACATATGAGTTGACTGTGATGAACACCTAGTTCAAGAAAAAGATTCACACCTTGTGACCTATAGAAGTGGATCTCATAGTACCCACATTGACTACTTTTTAGTACGGTTGACTTGGAGAACTAGCTACACTGATTGTAAGGTCATCCCAAATGAGAGTGATGTCACTCAATATAGGATGCTTGTGCTTGACGTTCTAGGTAAAAATAGAAGGCGGGTTAAGGTACAAGGGGAGCCAAAGATAAAGTGGTGGAGGTTTGAGGGGAATCTCCAACAAACTTTTGCATAGAAAATGTTGGAGGAAGATGTATGATCCATTGATAATGATGCACATGTGAATGATGTGTGGTTATCAATAGAGTCCACCTTTAACAAAGTGACGAAAGAGATACTTGGAGAATCTAAAAGTTGTCTACCACTAAAAAATGACAAATCTTGGTGGAATGATGAGGTGAAACAAACAATAAGAACCAAAATAGAATGCTATAAGAAATTGGGCAAATGTTGGAGTGACAAGAACACGGAGGAGTACAAGGAGGCTAGAAGAAGATGAAAGAAAGTTGTAAAGGAAGCAAGAGGAAAAGTGAACAAGGAATTGTATGCAAAATTAGACTTTAAAGATGGAGAAAAAGATATTTACATACTTGCTCGTCTTCGTGACCGTAGGACTCAAGATATCGAAAAAGTTAAGTGTGTGAAGAATGTCGATCAAAGGGTACTAATGGAGGATGGGGAAATATAGAAGAGGTGTAGGTCATACTTTGATACCTTGTTCAACGGGGATAAAGTGCAAGGTATTGATGATTTTACTATACCAGAGTGTATGGTAAATCAGGACTTCGTGAGAAGAATCCAAATAACATAAGTTAAAGAGGTTATGAGAAGATGGGGCGGAAGAAAGCAGTGGGCCCAGATGGCATACCAATTGAGGCTTGGAGAAGTTTGGGAGAGAAATGCATTGAGTGGCTAACACGTTTCTTCAACATGATTTAGAAAACAACAAGATGTCAATGAGTTAACAGAAGAGTACTCTCATTCCCCTATTTAAAAGTAAGGGTGATGTACAAGAATATGCCAACTATCGAGAGACTAAGCTTATGAGTCACATCATGAAGCTTTGGGAGCGTGTGGTTGAGCAAAACCTTCGAAAAGGTGTGAAAATTTTGGAGAATCAGTTTGGTTTTATGTCTGGACGCTCGACAAGTGAGGCCATTCACCTTCTCGAAAAGGATCTGCATTTGGTGTTCATTGACTTAGAAAAGACATATTACAGGGTACCTCGGGAAGTCCTTTGGCGGGCCTTAACTATAAAAGGCATATCACATAAATATATTAATATCATCATGAATATGTATGAGGCTTGTACTACGAGTGTCCGTACTAGTGTAGGGAGGACCGCATAGTTCCCTATTACTATTGGAGTGCACCAAGGATCGGCTCTGTGTTCTTTCTTATTTGCTTTAGTCATGGATGAACTTACAAAGTCAATTCAAGAAGATTTACCGTGGTGCATGATGTTTGCCGACGATATTCTATTGACTGATGAGACACAATCGGGTGTTAAATTGGAAGTATGATGACAAAATTGGAGACCAAGGGTTTCAGACTGAGCCGAAGTAAGACTGATTATATGGAGCGCAAGTTTGGTGGAGTGTAGAAGTAGTAGAACAATGGGATTACTCTTGATGGTAAGGAGGTACCGGTGTGTGATATGTTTCATTACTTGGGCTCCATAATTCAGAAGGATGGTGAATTAGATGGAGATGTATCCCATAGAATCATAGCTGGGTGGATGAAATGGAAGAGTGCATCTGAATTTCTATGCGATCGAGGTATGCCGTCTAGACTGAAAGGTAAATTTTATCGAACAACAATTAGGCCTGCATTAATGTATGTCGTAGAGTGTTGGGTGGTGAAACAATGTCACATTCAAAAGATGAGAGTGACAGAGATGCGAATGTTGCGTTGGATGTGTGGACATACCAGAAAAGACCGCTTGAGAAATGAGATAATCAGACAAAAGGTGGGAGTAGCACTTACAGAAGTTAAGATGCAGGAGTCTCGTTTGCAGCGGATTGGGCATGTGCGTAGAAGATCGAGTGATGCACCTGTTAGGTGACTTGAGGGGTGGGGAGAAGAGACAAAGAGGAGAGGGATGGGAAGACCCAAATAGACTTGGATTAGAAAAATCAGAACTGATATGCGTCTTTTTGGGTTGGATGAGAGTATGATTTTGGAGAGGGCAAAGTGGAGGGCGCACAATTGTGTGGACGATTGATCTCTTCTCATTTCTTCCTCTCTCATTTTCTTTTATCGTCTATCTTCTTTGTCTTTTTATGTCCTTATGTTACTTTTATTTTTCTAGCTTTTTTATGCTCTTTTATCTATTAATATTTTATCTTTCTCATATTCTTATGTTATTGTTATCTTATATTTTTTATGTTTATCTTATTCGTTTTATCCTTTTTTTCTTCTTGTTTGTCTTTTCTTTTTGGCATCGATATCATGGTTCGATTCATGTTAACTGACCTCAAAATCTTTTGGGGTTAAGGCTTGAATGTTGTTGTTGTTGTTTTCACTTTGACATTTTTCTTATATATATCTTCAAAAATAATGTGGTATGACCCGTTAAGAATTGATAGAATGGTTGAATTGATCATTCTTTGAAAGTAAGAGTAGTTATATGATATGGATTACTTTTTTACATATGTACTCAGGTAGTATATATGTTTAAATGATGGATTAGAAATAGTATAAGAGCCTATTTGATTCCTTTGCCTTTATCGTTGCACTACAGACACGACCAACTCCTAGGGAACCCGGTTTGGTCATCCTTGTCGATAGGTAACGACGTTGCCTAGGCCGTCACTGTCTTACTCATCATTTGTTGGCTGTTTACAGGTAACGACATAGAGAACACTGTTACTAATGGTGTTGCCAATGTACCCCGTATGTTCCTTGTTCTTACTATTGGTAATAGTGTATGTAACGTCATTACTCATTTGTTATTTGGGTGAGAACACATTTTTTAGAGTTTCCTACCATAGGGTATAAGTAGGTGTGGACCTGGGTTAGTCCGGTCGCAGTTCCGTGCCGAAACCACCCAATCCTTCCCATTTTTTTAAGGCCCATGCCCAAGCTGATGTAATCCAGTTCTGGACTGTTTCGGGTACATGGACTTGTTATAGGTTTTCACCCGGTTTCAAGGATAAAAAAATGGCCCGTCCGCGACAGAAATCGGGACCGAAATCGCTCGATTCAGTCCCAAATTGCAATATATTTATATATTACTTATTTGTTTAAGAATAAAAATCATGTCAACTTATATAATAAATATCCAATAAAATAAGGAAAAATTGAAAATAATAATCCCAACTATGGATGGTTCGCTGACAATAATCCAAACTATTGATTATTTTTGTATAATCCCAACTATATGGACCGTCCGCCAATAATGGTCCATGACAAGATATTACCTCTTATAACAAGTGAATTTTAAATAGAAATTAAGTGCAAAAATCAGAAGTTGGGATTATTTGTAGGGATTACTTGTTATATCTCTTCTCATCCACTTTAGAAACTACATGAATTTATTTATAGGGACCATTA